CACAAAAAGCAGTAAACTGTTTTCGCTAAAAAAATGTTGTGAAAAGACACAATGGCCATGGAAACCCTTAAGAAAGAAAGGATTTAATTTGGTATTGCTTACAGACTTAGACATTTCCTTCATTATCGTAGCAGGGAGCCTAGCAGTACATAGGCAGACATGATAGTGAAGAAGGAGCTGAGAGTTCTACAGTGGTATCCAGAGACAGCAAGAAGAGACAGTAGACTGCTGGCATAGCTTGACAAAGTTCACCTCTGGCAACACAGTTTCTCCATCAAGGCCATACTTCCTGCTGCCTGTAAAATACACCTGAGTGATCAAACATTCAAATACATGAGCCACGGCAGCCATTCTTAGCAACCTATCACATCTGCTACTCCAAAAGCTTCAAATTTCCTTATTTCAAATGATTTCCCATTTTCTTCTGCACAAAGTACAAAATTCTACCTTATAGCTAAGTAACAAAGCAACCTGTCTGAAAAACAAATTCTCTTTAGTACCTTCATAGATGAGTTAAATACTGTTTATTAATGGGTGACAACAATCAGTTATTTTATACTTAGAGAGTGTGATAATTCATTTTTGTCAACTTGACACAAACTAGAATCATCTGTAAAGACAAAAGTTCAATAGAAGATTTTCCTTCATCAGACTGGCTGTGGGCATACTTCTGGGACATTTTCTTAATGAGTAATTCATGTGGGAAGGCCCGGGTCACTGTGAGGAGAGCCACCCCTGAGAAGTTGGTCTTGGGTTATATAAGAAAGCATTGAGTTATTCACAGAAAGCAAAATAACTCTTTCTCCATTTCTGCTTCAAGTACTACCTTCAGGTTCCTATCTAGACTTCTTGTACTGATTTCTCTGGAATACTGATTATTAGCTGAAAGCTAAAATAAGTCCTTTCCTCCTTTAATTGATTTTGGTTATGGTGTTTATCAAAAGAACTAAAATCAAATAGGACAGCAAGATACATGAAATCTTCAAAGTATGATCTGATTTTTGTTGAGTACTTCTCTTGAAATTTTTCATTTCAAAAAATGAGTAGATGCACTATACAATGAAGGAAGGGTTGAGGAGATGGCTCAGCAGATAGAAGTTCTAACTACGAAAGCCTGAAAACCCAGGTTCGATGTCCCAAATACACATAAAAAGCTAGATTTGGTGGCATACTTCTGGAATCCCAGAACTGTCCAACTTGTTATTAAATCAATAGTAACATATATTCACAGCCCTTTCCCCTTTGTTGTCTAATTAAAAAGGAAGTTTTCAACTTTAACATAGTAAAACCATATACAACAAAAACAGATATCAAGTAAGAATTAAAGTTATAAAATCTGGTCCATTTGTATTTAGCAAATTTAGAGATAGTATTCTATTACCTATCTGATCTTTCTGATCATAATGGGTTATCCCTAATTAACCTTTTATCATAACTAAGAAAGTATTTAAGTTTAAGTATTGAGTCTTTAATTCAATAAAGGACCCCAGAAAGGTGTAAAAGCAGGGATATCTGGCTAGCTGGAGAATCACTCAAATTTCTTCAGCAACATTAGGGCATCTTTGTTTGGCCAATAGGCCTAGTATATCTGACAGACATTTTGGAGAATTAGGGAATGTTGCAGGACTGTTCTACCTTGTCTTGGCAAAGTTTGGTAGTTGCTTTCTTTTGCATCCTACTGATCCAGTTTGGACAGTACAGTGTCAACAATTGTGACAAAGGTAGTTTTGCCCCAAAATGGATATCTTTTGCCATAAAGAAAGCAAACTCCATATGGAAGTTCTTTGATGGCCATCATCTCATCGGTAGTAGATTGGTCTAATCAGAATTAGATATGTCTCACTTTCAAGAAAAGTTTTAGGTTATTAAGTATCTGAAATTACATATTCTGTAGGTCTTTAAAATGTTTGAAGAACATCTATCTAAATATATGTATAACCTTAAATACATACCTAATATGACTACAAGTTTGATTATGATAGATGTTTGTTTGGCCTGTATTTCTTAATTTTTCATTATATTTTAAATGAGCTGAATAAGTATGACAGCCCAAATAAGAGTAGAAATGAACATATAGTATAACAAAATTAATTTTAAATTTGTATCAATAAGACAAAACGCTTATCAATGTAAAATATTTTGAAATTAATAATTGTGTTTTGGATTAACTTAGATTCAATAATCCACCATTTTATATCATAATTTACATATTATATTTACTTTCTTCTTTTAGAAAGAGATTCTTGAATTTAACTCTTTTCTTTAACTCTTTTTACTGACTGTGACCAATAACAATTTGTAATCAACCCAACTTAAGTGATAACAAGCCTCCATAATCCATCTCTTGGAAATGTAGTCATTGCTTTTTCTAGATTGCTTCTTGTTGTCTTGGAGCTCTTGCATCTTTGAGGGAACCTTGAGAAAATCAGAATAATTGTCAAGTCATGTCTGGAGTAGTCTGTGAGGCTGGATCATCTCTATCAGCAATCTTGAAGCTGTTTTTGATGCAGAAATCTGAGGAAACTGAACAGAGGTGCATTGAGATGTTGGATCATATGGGCATCTGTTTTTATTGTCTGATGTTGTTGTTCTGAAAATACATACATTATTAAAGTTAACATATGTATCTGTATTAGTAAATGTTTAGACTGTTTGTTGTATACAAGTTAGCCAAATTTAGTGGTTTTATATGTTTAAGCAAATAAACTATATATTGTGTTTTGTAGTTTTTCTAGATTTATTTCGTTATGCATGTAGCCCGGATTTTTAGGGATTCTTCCTCAAACAAACCTGATTTTTTAAAAAACTTGTAATGAATCCAAAGCCTCTTGTTTCCTATGGAAATAAAAGCATAGCCTTTTCCCCAAAGCCAATACGTTTTTTGACTTCCATTTTGAAATCAAGACACTTTTAAAATATATACATTGGTTTAATTTAGCAGGTTCCATAATCCAATGTCTCCTTGCAGCTAGTACTCATTCATGAGTAGTCAAAAGTTCAAAGAGAACACAATAATGTATAGAATCCAGACACCCATGTATTTTCCTTCTATACAAGGATTATATGATTTTTATTATTTCATTCCTTCTTTGAAGAACTTTATTATTTTTAAATGTTTTAATCTATGACTGTATATATCCTTTCTCTCTTGTCTTTCAGTTCTATGCATATTTTTAAACACACCATAACACATTTAGAAGGTTTTTCTTCTAGATCTGTCTTTGCTGAGCATATTAATTGTTTTTTGATTGGATGAGAAGAATCTTAAATTGCTATTTCAGCTGCTGGAATTGCTGAGCTAAGTACATAGTGTTTATATGTGGTGGTTGGTGGCTGGCTCCAGCCTGCAGGCAGTTACCAAGAGATGTGTCTCTGCACCATGGCTGATATAGACTGTGAGACTTGGAAGTCCAGTTTGACTGCATTTTTGTTGTGTGTTTTGAACCTTTTCTTAAGCTTTTTCAGGTTTTATATGCATTTATATTGCCTGATAGTTGATCCCATGTGTAGGCAAAGTTTTTCCTATCACCAGTCATATCCCACATAACCACACAGAGACTTCTTATTAATTATAAAACCTTAGCCAGAGCTTAGACTTGTCATTAACTAGCTTCTATAACTTAAACTAACACATATTTCTTATCTATTCTCTGCCAAATGGCAGTATCTTTTTTTTCAGCACAACATGTACATCTTATTTCTCTCTGTGTTTTTTGTTGACTGCTCTAAGTCTGACCTTGTTCTTTCCAGCATTCTTTTAGTCTGCTTTTTCCATATAACTTCTTCCTGCCTGGTTATGGGACTGTCAGCTCTGTTTAAGCCAATTAGAATAACAAACACTCACAATGTACAAAAAGGAATATTTCACTGCAGTTGTGAATCAACAGCCATGAGTGCTGGAAACTTGACTGAAGACATCTGGGAAAGGAGCAAATGCCATCTCTCTAACCTTAGTATTTCTTAATTGTGAAACAAGACACTTTACATATTTACATGTTCTCATTGTCAAAATGGGATTAAATGTTCATAGATAATTATAACTTCAAGGATGAAATGAGATTCTGAGTGAAGAATCTCTGATCAGTTGTCTGGCAATAATACAGATAACCATGCAAATACATTTTTTCCTTTCTTTTTATTTTCTGTCCTAAAATCAGAGTTTGTTTATATTTCCCTCCTACATTCTAATCCTTGTTGCAGTTATTAATCAAAAAAAAAACCTGAAACCATGGGGCTACAAATACAGCTAGTTGATAGAATTCTTGCCTTGTATATACAAAAACCTCAATTTGTTTCCCAGTACAGATAAACATATGGTGGTCCAAGCCTGTAATCCCAGCATTCAAGAGGTGGAGGATGAGAAAATCAATGTAATATTTAGCTTTGTGGTATGTTCCAGGCCAGATGTCTTAGGCAGTGTTTCTATTGCTGTTATGAATCACCATGACCAAAAAGTAATTTGGGAATAAAGGGGTTTATTTTGCTCACACATCAGCATTGGTCTTCATCACTAAAGGAATCCAGGACAGAAACTCATACAGCGCAAGAATTCAGAGACAGAAGCTGATATAGAGGCCATGTAGGGGAACTGCTTACTGGCTTGTTCCCTATGACTTGCTCAACCCACCTTCTACAAGACCAGCAGTCCAGAGAAGGCACCACCCACCATGGATGGGGCCCTCCATATTTGTCACTAAATAAGAAAATGCCTTACAGCTGAATCTCATAGAGGAATTTCTCTGACTGATGCTCCTTCCACTGATGAACCATATTGATGTCAATTTGACACAGAAAATCAGCCACTATACCAGCCTTGGTGAAAAACCTTATCTTACACATACAAATACTCACCACACACACACACACACACACACACACACACACACACACACACACACTGAAATTTGGTCCACATGTGTTTTCTTGGTCTCGCTTCCTGGTGTTATGATCAAATGCTCTGACAAAATCAGCTTTGGAGAGAAAGGGTTTAATTGACTTACAATTCCAGATTTCATGCTGTTCTTGAGGGGAAGTCAAGGCTACAGACTCTTGAAGCAGCTAATCCTTGCATCTACAATCAAGAACACAGTAGTAAACTGATGCATGCATGCTGGTATTCAGGTCTCTCTCTCTCTCTCTCTCTCTCTCTCTCTCTCTCTCTCTCTCTCTCTCTCTCTCTATGTTTTATAGTAGAAGATCCCCTGAACAATGGTTCTGAACATGACTAATCTGGACCTTCTTGCATCAGTTATGGTAATGAACTTAATCCCTATAGACCGGTGCAGAGACTGTTTTCTCAGTTGATTCTACATTGTGTGGAACTGATCACACTCATCATCACCACTCCATAGGAAGAGTCCTGGTGTTCCATGCACTACACAACATAGTTCTTACTCTCTGTGCTCATTTGCTAACATACACATCTTTCTGGCCTTGTTATTTCAGAACTGATGAAGCAAATAACCAGGTAAGATAAATGGATTAACAAACCCATAGAAATAAATAGCAGAGGACAGTCCCCAAAACAAAGTTGTTTGTACACTTGCTTCTCACTCATTACCCAGTTTTTCTTCTCCTTTCATGAGTCTGGTCTTCAATTCTTGGAATACAGTACTAAGAAAAATTTGGCATTTTTGGGACACTGGTAACAGAAATTACAAGCCTAGGAGTGAGATAAAATCCTCAGCACAGGGCAAAAGACACTTCCTCTGTTATCTTTCTCCCTGGCTTGCCTACCAGTATCATCTAATTCTCTGATCTACACCTTGAGCTCCAGCTATCTGATTGACCCCATTCTATTAATTTTCCTATGTTTCTTCCTATGTGCATGTGGGTGATGTACTGAACTTTAAATATTTATTTCAAGACATGAATGCTATATCTTAAAACCATTATGAGATGGGTGTATTCCTAAGATGGTCTAGTGGGTAAAGTACAGGCTACACAAGTATGAGAACCTGAGTTCCGATAACAAGTGCCCACATAAAACTTGTATCTGCTGTAGCTCCAGGCTGAAAAACTTGGGTAGGCTGGCTTCTGGGTTCTCCTTGACCAGCATGCCTATACAAAATGGCTAATTCCATGTTTAGGATAAAAATTTGTTTTAAAACACAAAACAATACATCCTTCACTCCAATCTCCCTTTTTGTTTCTATTCTGTTGCTCTTCTTCCCTTCTTTCAGTCACTGTGTTTACTTTGATCTTTCTTGTCAGCCTTAGGCCATGTCCCTTTACCAAGTTCCTTGTTGACTGAGGTTTCTGTCCTTCTCAGTCCCACAGTCATACAGTCTCAAAGAAACACACAGAGGTCTATATTAATTATAAACTGGTAAGCCTATTAGCTCAGCCTTCTTATTAACTAATTTCTATATCTTAACCCATATTATTGTCTGAGTTAGCCATGTGGCTTGATAACTTTATCAGTGAGGCATTAACATCTTACTTCCTCTGCATCTTGGTGAAAACTACATACTCTGCCTTTCCTCTATCCAGAATTCTTCTGTTCTTTATGCTGCAGATCTACTTACTGCCTGGTTGCTCCATCTATAATTCCTGCCTGGCTACTGGCCAATCAGTATTTTATTAAAATAAAAGTGACAGGGTACAGACCATTGTCCCACAATACTTCCCTCCTTTGATTTTCAAAACTAATACTCTGAATTGAATCTCCTTTGTTTAGCTTTTCTCCTGACCATTATCCATAACAACTTATAAATGACATTCTAATAGAAGGCAAACATCCATAATTCATTTTTTGGGAATATGGGCATAGTTTTCCAGGCAACGTTCTGCTGATTGGGGCACTGATAATCTTATGGGCACCTAAAGAAAATTTTGAATTATGGTCAAGTCCTGAATGGAATATTCTGTGTGGCTTCATCATCTCAGCCAGCAGCCGTGAAACTGTTCTGGATGCAGAACTCAGAGGAAACTCCAAGAGAGGTCCTCTGAAATGTTCGATCATCTGGACCATCTGTTCCTATTGGAGATTCTTCAGGGGATCTTCCTTGATCAAACCTGATTTTTCTTAGCTCAAAATAAATCCATAGTCTCTGACTTCCTATGGAAATAAAAAACCCTCTTCTCTAATGTAACATATCTTTTGACTTATATTTTGAAGTCAAGGAATTTTCAAAATATATATGTAGGATTAGTCCAGCAGCTTTTATAATCAAAGATCCTTTATCAATTATTTCTCTTTTCTCAGCCATTTAACAATTTAAAGGCAATTCAATAACATATAGTAGCCAGACACTCTGTATTTTTCATCTTTATGTTGTTTTATTTTAAACTTTATTTCTTTTATTTTTATTTATATGTTTGCTTTTTGAGACAGGGTTTCTCTGTGTATCTTTGTATTTCTTGGGACTTACTCTCTAGACCAGGCTATCCTTGAACTCATAGAGATCTGCCTGCATGTGCCTACCAAGTACTGGGATTAAAGGTGTGTACCACCACACCTTGAACTCACAGAGATCCACATGCCTCTACCTTCCAAGTAGATTAGGAGTGTGTACTTTTAATCCCTATGTGTACCACCATACCCAACTACTCTTTTTCTTTCTTTTTCATTTTAAGGATTTTATCCTTGTTTTTCTCTCCTAAGCCTACATATATTTTTAAGCACATTGTAGACTGTTATTCTTTTGCTGTCACTTTAAGAATTAACCACGCCCACCCCAGCCACTTCTGACCTTCCCCCGCCGCCATCTTCTCTCTCTCTTGTGTGTTTGTCTCGTGTCATATGTACGTGTGTCTTTGTTCTCTCTATGTTTCTCTTATGTCTCTCTGTTTTTCTCTTCTTTAAGCAATAAATGTCTCCCTCTTCTTTAAATAATACTATGTACTGTGAGCCTTTTATCTGCCATAACCGCCCGCCTGACTCCCTCGGCCGCATGGCGCTGCCATCCTGGAGATCTTACAGGGACCCACAGCCATCCTTGTCGGACTAGAAGCTGCTCCCAGCATCCCATCATAATATTTTTAAAGAACAATATAAACCATTTAGAGGTTTTATTCATCTTAATCTATCTTTCATGTATATCTCTTTTTCTCAACAAATGGGTCTTTAATTTGCTAAGTGATATGGTTAGGATTAAAGCCATGGCTTTTCCAGCTGAATCCAGCCCATTTCTTAGCTTTCTGAGAGCCTAGCCTGATGGCAGAGGTACCAGCCAGAGCCATGTTTATTGGCAGAATTCTATGGAGTTTCAAGGTCCCTGCCACCACCAAAAAGCATACAAGTGGCTATTTATTAACACCAATTAAGTGTTTCATGACACAGCCTCTTTAAAGAACTGCAAGGCTATTGTAGCTAAAGCTGAGGCAGGAAGCCTCTATTAAATGAGACAGACTTGCCTCTAGTGAACAAAGTCCACCTGAGAAAATGATGTTAAAAAGGAACCATGCTTTACTCTGTTATTTCATGTTTAGAATTACTTCCTAAACTCTCTTAGGTTTTATGTGGATGCAGCTGTCCATATTGGCACCATTTGTTGACTGAAGTTTTTGTCTCACCGACTCTTGCAGCCTTATAGTCCCAAAGAAACACACAGGGGTGTACAATAACTATAAACTGGTTGATCTAATATCTCAGTCTTCTAATTAACTAATTTATACATCTTAATCCATAATTCTCTGTTTTAGCCACATGTCTTGGTACCTTTATCAGTGAGGCATTCTCATCTTGCTTCCTCTGTGTCTATGTGACAGCCACAGACTGTACCTTTCCTCTTTCTAGAATTCTCCTGTTCTTATCAGCCCACCTCTACTTCCTGCCTGGTCACCCTACCTATGCTTCCTGACTGGCTACTGGCCAATCAGCATTTTGTTAAAACACAAGTGATAAGGTACTGACTATTATCCCACAAGAGTTCCTGATCTCTATGAATATGAAACACACATATTCCATTATTCAAAGCTAATATTCACAGATGAGATGTTAGTCTTTTTGTCTGTGATACCCCATTCAAGATGATTGGGCCCTAGGAGAGAATTTTCTACTACTATTCTGATAAATGGACATGGTATTCAGCAGACTCTTAATGTCTTATCTTTATCTGTAGATTAGTATACCTACAGCCGCAACAGAGAACTCTTTTTTAGTAATTTTTTGAGCTATACACTTTTCTGTGCTTCCATTCCTTCCTCTACCCTCCCCTTCTACCTTCTCTCATGGTCCCCATGCTCTCAATTTATTCAGGAGATCTTGTCTTTTTCTACTTCTCATATACATTAGGCCCATGTATGTCTCTCTTAGGGTCCTCATTGCTGTCTAGGTTCTCCGGGATTGTGAATAATTGTAGGCTGGTTTTCTTTGTTTTGTGTCTAAAAGTCACTTATTAGTGAGTACATATGATATTTGTCTTTCTGGGTCTCAGTTTTCTCACTCAATATGATATTTTCTAGATTCACCAACTTGCCTTGTGTCATTATTTGTTATTGCTGTGTAGTACTCTATTGTGTAAATGTATCACATTTTTCTAATCTATTTTTTTTGGCTGAGGGGCATTTAGGTTGTTTCCAGGTTCTGTCTGTGACAAACAATGCTTCTATGAATATAGTTGAGCATATGTCCTTGTGATACGATTGGATATCCTTTGGGTATATACCATTGCAGTAGGTAGCAATTGAGACAGAGACTCAGAAGTGGTTGAAACACTGGTGTAGGAGGTCCTTCTGAATTTATGTTGCTTTCATTTGTTAATAAAGAAACTGCTTTGGACCTCTTGACAGGACAGAACTTAGGTAGGCAGGGAAAATTAAATGCCATGCTGGAAGAAAGGAGGCAAAGTCAAAGAGAGACACCATGAAGCCACCAAAGACAGATACTGAGAATTTAACCCAATAAGCCACTACCACATGGTGATACATAGATTAATAGAATTGGGTTAAATTAAGATGTAAGAATTCGCCAATAAGAAACTAGAACTAATGGGCCAAACAGTGATTTAATTAATACAGTTTCTGTGTGATTATTTTGGGGCTAAACTAGGCAGGCAGCCAGGATAAACAAGTGGGCCCTCTTCCTACAGATTAGCGCCAATGTGGCCAGCTAAAATTCATAAAAAC